AAAGAGAGAGAGAGAGAGAGGGAGTGAGTGCAGTGTTTAGGTGTGCCTGTAGGGAGGGTAGGAGGGAGAGACCGGAAAATGCAAAGCAAAGCCAAGCAAACAACAAAAGACTGATTTCTGCTGCTACGTGTGCGGACGGAACGCAGGTGGTTCTGTCTCACTGGAGGTCGATGACTACTTTCACCACATCTTCGTGGTACCTCGCATCGGATCGCTCTCGTGTCGCCTACAGTTCCGGCCTCCGAGCTGCAAGTTTCGACAGTCACTAATGGATCCCATCTGTGCTGAAGCCTGGTTCTAGCGTCTATCTGCCTCTGCCAAGGAACTCAGACGCCATCTTGAAAGCTTGTTGAATTTCAGCGAGTGGGAGGACATGGGTGAAGATGCCTCAAGTGAGAATCGCTCTGTGTGGACAAGGCCTGGCGCGAGAACGACGCCGAGACTGCCAAGAACTACTTCCTAACTCGGAATCCAATCGGATTGAACCCGAAGCCTTCGCACTCGCTGAGATGACAAATCATCAAGGAGAGATGCGGACTTCAGTGGCGAAATCTCATTGCCGATGAGAGGCCTTCCGTGCTGAAGCTGCCTCGCTCAATCAGCTCCACAGCTTGAGGAAAATCCACTCCTTCTGCAGAGCACAAGGAACCAAAGGCACCCTGACGGCTGCCAAGGCTGCCTCATGTTTCGAGCTGTGACATGTCGAGCCTGGATCTGGTATCACAGACGACATCAATGTCACGTTCTTGCGGAAGAACTTCGCAAACTGAAAGGTCCCGTAAACCTCAGAGACCAGCTGGATTGCCGGTTGAGGCACGCTGCGGGTACTGTATGCTTCACATGCATGTGGCCAAAGGACTGCATCATCCGGCACGCCAAATGCAACCACAGTACCTTTGCTGTGCGTTGTCACCGAAGATCAAAACATGGACAAGGGCAGTCAAACCACTTAGTGAACCGAACTTCCCACTCTCCGACATCGACAGGCGTATCGATCACCATCTCTTCCTCTTTTCAGGGGTGCGGCCGCGCTTTGCTACAAGGTCCAAAGCATCGTTGATCGTGGCCTCAACCGTGTCAGGTGATTCCAGCCAATGTCCGGATTTTGAAGGGACAAAGACTGGTACATGTCGTCAGCTTACAGGACCTGCAATGGTGTTGTGCTGGCCGGCCTGGTTGTGACCGACCATCTCCAACACCACATCCGCCCCACGGCCTCCAGTAGCTGCAGCAACGGCTGCGGCGGCGTCCTAGTCGATGGCACAGTCTGCATCATGCAACTGAGTCGTTTGCACAGAACTCGCCTCCTGCGGAGATGAGCTGGCTGTCCGTTGTCGCTAATATGCACGGGCAATAGAAGGCCATCCGAATCTCCGTCTACGTGCTTCAACGTGAAATTGTTGATGCTCGTTCTTTTACGTGTGTATATATATATATATATTATCTGTATCTATGTCTGTTGTCGACCTAAAAAGTCTTTCGGCTCCTCTGGCGCAACGGCTTTGGTCGCGCCGAACTCCTCCTTAGCTCGCATCAAGGACGGGCTGCAAGGCTTCAAGCATCCTCCGAATTGATATAATGGGTCGCTGCGACAGGCCGCAATCGGTCAAGGTTCCTACCAACTGTCTCAAGACGTCAGCCATCATTACAGAAACACGGCAAAACCAGTGCCGCGCGAATGCTCCTACGACAAATATTGCAAGGGGTGATAGACTTCCGCCTTCTTAGCACTGTTGCTTCCTGTCTTTCCGTTTCTTCTACTTCGTCTTCGTGTTCCTGCTGCTGTTGCAGCTCCTGGCAGCTGCTTCTGCTCCCGCGCCTCGTCCTACACAGCTACTACCGGCTACTGGCACGACTTCGTCTCCGGGCAGACTGCGATGCAATGACGACTAACAACGATTCTGGAAGTGGAGTGAATGCAAAGTGCAGCAGTAGGAAAGCGTGTTCATGCATCAGCGGAGATGCACTGTCCAGGGTCTGACCGTATCTGAAAATTAGTCGACAAAAACATACGCCAAAATGGCGATAATGATTGGTCGAAGCTGACCCATAAAGTGCCCACGATCTCGAGCAAGATCCAACAGGAGCCCGGCAAGGACCCCATCCCCCCTTCACTTAGAGAATGTCAAGTGAGGGAGGGTGGGACAGACTTTCATTCACTACAAGGATTACACCAGGTGAGCGGCAACAGGGAGCAGAAGCATAGGCAACTCCAGCACTCCGATGGGTTGATTCGTAGTGGGCAAGAAAGGCAGATGCGACTGTAGATCAGTGCCATCGGGAAGCAGCTTTTCGACGTCTGAATGCTAACGGCTCCACAGCGAGGATGTGCCTGCCACCCGGACAGGATTTTGTGCCCTTGACGTTTCTTCCTTCTGCATGGTATTCCTACATAAGACTCGATTGTTGGTTCACCCTCAGCCATTGTCGGCCGAGCTTACAGGTGGATCCCTGCATTTGGCCGACACGAACTGTGACCAGAGATCCGCCGAGGTACAAATCAGATCAGCCGGGAGAAACGGACAAGGCAAGCCACTGCTTGGATCAGCTGGTATTCTGACCAAATGCAGTAAACAAACATCGAAAGCCAGTTGGAGCAATTCAGAAAAGAAACACACCAACCCTAAAAAGGAGTCACTGTTCCGGAAAACCCTAGACCTAGACCCTAGAGAGCACGAGTGATTGCGAAAAAACCATACCCTGAAGAAAAAACTGGTTCGCAAAAACCCAAAGCCCTTTCAGGGTAGAAGGGGTGACAAGCCCAACCTGGGTGGCAAGCCCAATACGAGTGCTGCAAAATCTCCAAAATTCCCAAAAGAGTGCCTCGTTGTCAAAAAGCAAAACTCAGGCCGGAAAATATATGTTTACTCGTTTGAATGCGGACGTTGAAACATGTTTTTGTAGGTAACAGGTCTGAACTTACTCAAACCCTACACTTTTAAGTGACGACCCACAAAACATTGAGTATGTCCCACAGCGTCCCTTGCTGAAAAACTTATTCACAAACATCTCAAAGCACGAGGTCGAACTTGAGAATTGCCGATTCGCATTCTCGCCCGATCCGATTGGCAAAGCTGTTTTCGCCGTTACCTGCAGCTACCTTCAGTTGGTGCTCCTACTGCGATGCAATGCAGTGTTGAATGCGATCCACAGCACATCAACTTCCACGATGAACTTCCTTGAAGGATCGTATGAGCTAACCCTTCTCGGAAAAGGATTGTGCACATCTTCATGCATCACAGACGTATTCCGGCCTTGCGCAAAGTTGGGCAACCATCCGCGTAGCCATCAGACCATTTTGGCCCTGCCTCAGCTAGCTCAGACTCTCAGACGCTGTCGATCTGCAGAAACTTCCACACTCGCCATGTACGCCAGACAGAGTAGAATTGTTGCAGCGATGATTGCACCAACTCGTTCCTGAAAGGAAATCTTGTGAGTTGCATCGGTTGGGGTGCAGACAATAGACTATGTACAGCAGTGTTTTGCGAGGTGGCAAGCGGGTCGCGATTCAGGAGGCCCAAAAATTCAGAGTGCTTGCCAAAGCCAGATGAACTAACCGAGGCCGGGCATTCTCATCTGCCCCTATGCCGGTTGGGAGGTGGATGTGCAGAGGACAGAAACCATCTTTCCCTACATCATGCGCAAAGTTGGCAGCCAACAGCGTGAAACCGTCGCATTGAACCTTTGATACACGTAACATCATCAGAGGGAGATTGTTAAAGGGCCCGGGCAGAGATTCCGTCGACGGGCTCAGCAGTCTGCAGCCCAAGCCAACCTGCTGTGCCCCTTTCCACTTTGCACGGTGCCTTCGAATCGGAAACGTACTGCAGTTATTGAAAGCAAGATGCCCCAGGATCACTACGCTCTTGCCGAAGAATGAGTCCATCCTCCTGTGCACACATCAGAATTTTCGATCGTGCCCCCCCGGCATGCTTGTAACCTCGGAACGGCAAGGTCAACTCATGGGCTCCTGAACATCCGGAGGAGGGTGCCCAGCGCCTGAGCTGCCAGCATGCGTGGGATGCACTCCTCCAAAGCAAGCTGCTTTCTTTGCTTCCAGCTATGCCGACGTGGAATGGTACGGTACAAGAATGCTCTTGCTCTCAAGAACAAAGAGTCGTCTCCCTGGGTCGTCCTTGATCTTATAGGTGCAAAGTTCGTGGCTTGTGAAGATCTCCTTGCATTGCAGCATTGAGGCCAGTGGTGAAACCATCAGGGTCTGTGTTGGGATTGTCAGGACCACATGTAACTCAATACAACAGACTTGGCGGCGCAGCATCACGTCGAAATCAGTCACGTCACACTGAAACCTCCTCGGACAGGAAAGTTTGTGAGAAGCACCTCAGCATGCGATGGAATCACAACATGCCCCGGCTGCATCTTCGAACCCCTGCAAGCGAAAGCAGCCTGTACTATATTATCTCCAGTGACCTGGACAGCAAGGCCAACCAGACTCTGAGCCTCCATCGAAAACCCAGAAGTCACAAAATGGCTGAGCTCGAGCTCTGACAGGATGGCAATCGCAAGCTTTGTCTGACAAGGCTTCATTGTATCGCCGGCCCTGCCCGACGCCGAGCCAGGCGCACGCAACCTCCCACCACCGCCCCATGTCTCACCCGACTATCGGACCCAAATGAGGCTGAGGGGCGCTGTGCACCGCCTCGTCGTACCACTCTTGCTGCGTTGCAACATGGGCCTGAGCAGACGGCGAGTTGCTGCACACAACAGGACAACAAGGCCTTACGAAGCAAGACCTGTTCAAAAAACATGCGGCCTTAAAATAGGAGGACGGCAAGGAGAGAACGGAATCCCCTTTGGCAAACCTTTCGGTGCTCGACCTGAGCAGGGCGACCTTCCGGCCTTTCCGACTTCGGTGCTCTACTGCGACTGCACCAGTGCATTTCAGAATTCAGGTGTTTCAGACTCCAAGAACCGGACTCCAGGACCTCACCTACCACCTGACAGGGTCTCGATGCAGCATCGGAGACAAATGGTGCCAACGGATCCAGGACCGCCTCATGCCCGCAAAAGCCGTCGCGGTCCCAGTAACAGCTGGGCGCTCGCGATGTCATATCTCCTCGGCGCTCAAGACATCAGGCATCGGCATCCCACAGGGCGGAAATTGAACTTAGCGGCGAAAATAAGGAATGTCGGAACCACAAAGAGATGCATACCTTGTTCGTATCAGCAGTGAGCCTCACAAAGCGTTGATTAATGTTGCAAACCATCTGCAAGTTGCACACGCTTGCACGGACGAGAAGAGCAGGGCCCTAGCAGGCCTGGCGGGCACTCGTCAAGAGAAGGACGTGGCGACTCAACTACGCGGAGTGCCTTCGAAGGTGAGAACTGGAGCCGAACACATGGCACTGTGCCTGGGGAGCCTTCGAGGAGAAAAGCCGCGCTGCGCAACAGGAGCAGTTGATGTCGGCACCTTCGGGGCTCTGTGGCTGTGCCCTGCATGACAATGAGGAACCACGGCAGTCCAGAGCTCAACTGCTCATATCGTCATATCGTTTCACCGGAACGAGAAACGAAATAACATGGATTCCAATTCCCGGTACTGCCACTACTGCCAGCTCTCATCCCAGCTGCTAGCGGGCTGCAGCTGCAACTTCGCAAAGAGGGAGCTGCGATGGAAGTTGACCTCCGTGCACATGACAGCTGAAGCCGCATAGCTACTCATGCTACTCTGTTCTTCTGCTGTCACTGGACATGCATCTCGAAAGCTTGGAGAATGGGCTTGATTCTTCGGGCAGCAATGAAAGGGAAAGGCAAGGTACCTCCGCATCCCCAGGATCGACGAAGGTCGTCCAGATCATCCTCGCAAAGCTACATTGGAGCGGGTTGCGAGTCGCAAGTATTTTCGCTCCCTGTAGATTCGCCGAGCATCCCCCGGAGCAGCGCTTCCGAGATCTCTCGGCTCAGGAAACTTCCAGCTTCCAGGCTCTTGGCGGGGTGCTGGGCACGGTGCAGGCCGATCCGAATCTCCTTCTCCGGATCCTTAGACTGGGTCACCCACGCGCAGTCCGAACCAATGCTGCTTTTTGGCTTTCTTGCCATGTCTCCATCTTCATGGCCTCCCAGCGAAACTGGGCGAACACCTTTGACTTCAGGCAGGTCAGGCAAGCGAGTGCAATTTTTTGGCATAGCAACGCCAGATGCCACCGCGACACCACACGCTTCGTGGGTGCAGGCGATTCCGCAGTTGGCAGAGGGCTCCTCAGCTTCGCTACGCTGCATGGCGAAGTACCTTGGACTTGGATCGACCCAGGCACGCAGAATCACAGTGCCCGACAGCAAGCTGCGAAGTCCACGCCTTGCGCAAACAATGGCAAGCGGCTGTGGCGACTATGGCCCATGGCGTATGGCACCTCTTCGACAACGGCCGGCCTTGGCTGCTTTCGAAGAGCGCGCGTCCCAGTGAAAGTCGAAGGATCCATTGAAGACGGCGCGATTCGTCAACATCTGCAAGGTTGCTTTCGCTGGCCGGGGCCGGGCCGTGCGGGGTCACGGAAATCCCGAGCCTTCCCGTCGAAGTTCACCTCGAAGGCGTAGTAGGTCTGGCCGATCGGGGTGGAGCTGCCATCTGCGCCATGGCAGCCATGGCCCACGGCCAAGGACACAATTCTGAAACCCCTTGGACTGCCTGGCCTGGTTGCCAGAGGAAGCACTCGACACGCTCGTCCAGCAGCACCGAGCGCATCTCGGCGGGAACGCTCCCGCCCTGCCACTGCCACTGCCAGAGTTGGGCAAGAGGTGGAAACCCCGAACCTCAAGCCCTTCGAGGAAGGCCGGCTCCACCATGCTAGCCTTGGCTCTTAAAGAAAGCACATAGGGTGCTGCCTTGCAGCCGTAGGGTTTGGGGTTTCAATGCTCTCAAAGCCTGCCGTGTGTGTAATGCGGCGAAGATCATCGATCGCCGCCGTCGCGGGACCCTCCAATTCCCAGCAGACGTACAGAGCCTGTGGAAAGGGAAGCTTTTGCTGGGGAAGGGTGCATCCACAACGGAGACGAGCTACTACTCTCCAGGAATACGAACCAAAGGCTCGAAAGTTCCACGAGCCAATCCTTGTCCCACTAAGGCCAGTTGCAGGTTCTGTGAACAATGCAACCAGCTTGACAGTTCGAGGTTGTTCAGTCGCACCTTGTCGTCCCAAAGCAGCCTGACTGTCGTCGGGAAGCCCTGTGCCAGGTGAATGCACCAAATCAACTTCTGCGAAGGAGTGTTGCTGAGGTGGGCCTACCCTACACCATTCCCGAGGCTGTGCAAGTCTTGCCTCGCCTCCGGGCCAGGCCACTTGCGAGGCCGCCCCAGGACCACACCTCACTATTACTATTTGTCGGGAAGGACCAGCTCTAAAAGCGGCTCACATCCACATCATACACGAGGCAACTCAAAAGAACGACTCAAGTTCCGAAGCTCCAGACACCATCACATGCTTGCCAGCTTGCTCGGCGCTCGCGAGAAGGCATGATACCTGATCTGCACTTTCTGAATCCTTTGCACCCTGGCAGGCATGCTGCTAAGCCACGGCGACGGGCTAAGCGCAGGGTCAGCACCCTTCAGCGCTGACACCTGCCCAGGCGTAGCCCCTCTGCTCTTCGGACGACACACCATACCCCTGAAATGAAGCCCAGCGTGACATGAATCTCTTGCCCATAGGCCACCGATAATTGCAGTGATCTTGCCACGACTTGCCACTCTCGCCTCGCTTTCGTCGGCTGTTGTTCGATTGCTGAGCACAAAAGACTTCCTGGCACTTGTTCCATCGAGCACGTCATTACAGAAGCAACTTCGACGAAATCCTAATTCGCTTCTGGTCGGCAGCCTTGACCTTGAAGCCACTTTGGAAGCCATGGGCCGACTGCACAAGACTACACGGTGCGATGTGCGTCTTGACGTCTTGAAGTATCCAGGTAATGCTGGCGCCCGGTGAACTGCAACATCGCTTTTGTTGCAACGGCCTTTCTCTGTCTTGCCCACAGACTCAAGCTGCCAAGGCTTTGCCTGGCTTGATCCTGAACGACAAGCTCGCCTTGGTCAACCGCTGCGGAACAACTTCCACTGTGGCCACGACGGTTTACAGCATTCCCGCACCTGGTTTAGTTTACACGGAAGGCCTCGCACTGGAGACGCGTCGCAGGCCGCGGATGGCCGGGTGCATCATGGGCGAAAACACTGAGGCGAGAAGGCCAAGATGGCAAGATACGGTAAGATGTTCTTGGTTTTCAAGCCGTCGGAAATTTCCACTCCGATCCTTATGAAAAGCCATGCTGACTGCGCTGCACCAACAACCATGGCGCATCCTGTGATGTGGCGCTACGCTTGAAAGCAAAGTAAAAGGCCATGAAGAACGCAAAGCTTCGAAGTTGCAGCTGATCTTCCGGCAACTCCGCCTCCCATAACACATCAAGTCAAGCAAACACCCTCATGGAGCGGGTTGAATCGTTTGAGTGAAAGCCCTTCTGAGGGGTTAATCCCTGAAGATCCCAGAAAGAAGCCCTTGCGCAATGTCTTGATTCAACACAGCACCCGAGACTCCGTGCAATCAGACGAGGATCCGTGTTGCGCCAAACTATGCGAAAGTATATCAGACAGGACCAGCAGGCTAAACTCGCTGCGGTTTTGAGAAGCATGGGTTTTCTGCGCATGGCACATGACTGACGACAGCCACATTTAGGCCTTCGTGAGAACTTGTGCATCGTGATGGACAGTTTGCCCAATGAATCAAATGCTGGACTGGATGCCAGTGAGTTCCTCACTGAGGGCCCACAACCTCAGTTCGTCCCGAACAGGTCTTACGTTCGCACTGATGCATTCCATCGGCCATGAGGCATGGGTAGAAGGATCAAGTGGACGAGGCTTGTGACTCATAGCTCATAGCCTACTGGCCTACTGCACGTGTCCTTTCGAAAATCTTGGGGTGGTTGGCATTTCGGGCATCTGGCAAGTAGACTCGGGAACTCAATGAATCGTCCAAAACATGATTCAAAGCAGTAGGTCCGCAGCCACTGGGTGGGATCACCAAATTTGGAATAACTGGGCACTGGGCAACTAGATATTGTGAAGATGAGCTTGCCTTTGTGCCATCATCCATGGTAGAAATGCAAGGGTGCCGACCGTAACGGTGTAATTAGTCAGGGCCTCCTATTGTTCCCAAGATTTCCCAAAGAATACAAACTAAGCCTCAGCCCTGTAGTAACTGAAGGCAATTCTCTCACCCGGCCTGTCTAGGTTGCTGCGGTCTTGCGCTACCTGCGAGGACAAGGGCAGCCACAATGTTCAAACGATCAACGCAATGAGTATGTATATACATATATCTATATACACGCGCGACACAGATGTGCCCCGTGCTCCGTCTTCCATGCGTATTCACACTTATCGACGGCCCTCGACGGCTGTTGTCATGTGTTGACATTAAGTGATACATACACACAAACATACATATGTGTTACCCCCTCATGTGCCCACACTTTGTAAACCCTTTGATTTACTTGAGTTGTAGCAGAACCGTGCATTCATTGCATTGCGGCTTACATGCACGAGAAAGTTCATGCGATCGACACAAACTGCATGTGTTATCTCCAGATTAGGCAAACGAAACAGTACAGTTTGAACACAAGAGCTCTTTTGTTTCGAGGGAGGCACCAGAAATCGCAAACGCATGGCTCCTAGGTGAGTTGGTCTCCTAAGACAGTTGACACAAACTTCCTCATGAAGCCGGAACGGACGTGCATCCTACCCACCGGCCAGCATTCCGATTACAGTAGTCATACTGGGCCGACATGAGCTTTGCTCGGAGTAAGGAACTGCCCGCCTTGGCACGCTGACTCACAAGGACAGGCCTTGAGAAAATGCCAGCACCGATCCATGACCTGGGTACCGGATTTGACCTTGAAGGTTTTTTTCCGCTTGGTCCCGGGCAATTTGCGGGCGACGATCCGCGCACAGTGAAGGCGTTGCCATTGCCATTCCCCCTGACCTTGACTCCCTTCTTGCAACATCTTGCAATGCAGACCATGTCGTGGAGCACGCCTGGAAGCTGAAGCGTGTAGCTCTTGACGGCTTGTGTGCAGGCTGCAGGATCACTTTACGATCACGGAACAGCTCGGGCCCTTCACGGTGAGCTTGGGCTGCAAGCGTGGCGACAGCTCCCACGGCTCCCACATCATGACGCTGTCTTTGGATGTGATAACTCCTGAGATATGTCGCGTCTGTCAAAGGTGGCCTTATCCATCTCCATGTCCTGCCAAGATCTCCCATCCCAGGATGCCATCTTCTTTGCATTCTTCTCGACGTGCTCCCGCCTCAACTTGCACGGCTTCTTCAACATGCACTCAAGGGCCGAGTGGCTGATGTCGAGACGGAGGTCGATCGCGGCTTCACCCTTAATTTGGGCCTGGGCATCTTCATGCAACTTATGTGGCTTCCCATCGGGCTTTGTTTCGCACGACGCCGAACAGCCTGCAGAGCTTTGGATTCTCGGCATGCTCTGCTAGCTAAACTGCTTGGTTGCAGGTCTCCGCCCAGTCTGAAGTACACTGAAAGAATTTTTGGCACGTAGGCAAAGGTGCGAAAACCAGGACGATGATGCGGAGTCTTGTAGTGGAATGCTGTTCTCCTCAGGATTGCTCTCAACAATGTTCTGGATGGTTTGTGGTGGAATGCCGTTCTCCTCAGGGTTATTCTCAACAATATCTTGGATGGTTTGTAAGGGATTTCCTCTTGGTCCTTAGAAGCTGTGTCATATCCTCGATGGCTAGCATAACTAGCCCATATAACTAGCATGGGCTTCCTGCGGGATTCGTTTATGGGCTCATTGAGAATACGCAGCAAGGGATTGTGCACAGCATCATTCCAAGAATCCGATATGCCACTAGGACGGCCCGCTGCTCGCCTAACCTTGTTCACAAGCCGATGGTAGCGTCCCTTGGTCAGCGGCGATCGCATCTTGTGGAATACGATCACGCCGTCCCGAGTCTGTTGGATAATATTCATACTGGGCCGTGTAGTCTTAGATCTTGTGGATTGAACGCAAAAACATCTGTGCTAGGCTGCTGCGGCGGCCGAGCTCCTCGTGGTACTAATCGGAGCACAGTCCTCCTGTTGTGAGACCTCCACCTGCCCTTCCACACGAAAGAGGGATAAAAGCTTCTACACGAAATACAGTGGCCTGACGCCTTCGGTCAGCTTGGCTCGCTGTGAAGCCTCAGCCACTGTGCAGTGGGTCTGTGCAGCTCCGGACATAGCTCCGAGCTGCAGCACGTTTTGCCAATGGCATGGCCTTGCTAGGTTTCGTGATGCAAGACGAGGACAAGAAAGGAAGACAAGTGAAACATGGTTTGGAACCACAACAGGGCGTATTCAAACGGATTCGAACCGTATTCGAAGGCGCAGGGGGAAGTCCCCACCCCCCCCGAGCCCCGAGAATGGTGAATCTTGGATACGGAGCGTATTCCACTGAGTACATTTTGAATCCGCTCTATCTTGTTCCGAGGCGAGAGTTCTGCACTTAATATGACCAGGAAAATTACGATAATATACAGGCAATCCCCGCGATGCCAATAATCATAACGAACGCTATCCTGAAGCTAAGACTTAGAAGAAAGGCACGGGCACATGCTGGGGTACAATGTAGGTATGTATGATGTATGTATGTATGTATGTATGTATGTATGTATGTATGTATGTATATGTATGTGTGTATGTAATACCGTCCAATTATTTGTCTGTTGTTTTCTGAAACAAGCAGTGCGAACTATGTAATTACATAACTATATCAGTATTCACGTATGTATGTACGTATGTAAGTGTATGTATGTTTGTATGTATGTATGTATGTATGTATGTATGTATGTACAGGCACATACATATGTATGATGTAGATGTCGTTGTGAGCGCATGTGCACATAGAGATGGATGGAGAAAGGAAGGAAGGAAGGCTAGCTGGCTGGCTGGCTGGCTGGCTGGCTCGATGGATGGGTATGTATGTAACTGTGTAAGTATGTATATGCGTATGTATGTAAGTTCGTACGCAGATAGGCAGTTAGCTATGCATGCACTGTTCGATGGACGCTGCTTTTACCATCCAGTTTCTTCGGTTCGCTGCTGCACAGGTCCGTAGAATCGTGTGATCGCAGCGAAATTGAGAAAAGGTGCTGAACGTGCGTTCTTGCTCCCACATCTGTGGCCGTTTCTCGTAAGTGCACACCAGCAGAGTACCCTTCGGGTCTCTACGAGTGCCGGAAGATCTTGTGCCCGCAGGCTCAAGCCTAAAGAAGCCTGCGTGTTGCCCGAGGTACTAGTAGAATCCAGAAACTAGACCTGCCAAAACATTCTAAAATTGTAGCCTTCGTGGAGTTTTTACGGGGCTCGGCGCAGGTCTAACGGATCGTTGAGGGGTGCCAGCCCCCTCAGCCTAGAAGGGTGATACAAGCACTCAGATTGCTCAGTACCCGAAAGTTGTGTAATGCCCCCCGTACCTTGGACAGCTTGCTCACAGAGATAGGCAACAAGCGATGCGCTAAACCCGGCAGTCTGAAACATCGCCAGTTCTTTCGGAGTGGCGCGCCGGGACCCGGGGTCTCTGTCTCCTCGCAGTACACAGGCCAAGCTGTGTCTTGCTCTCTCGGAGCTCTACACCATCCCACGTGTATCGACCATGATATTCGGCACAGGGTACTGAGCTTCGACCGCTGCACTCCTTGCGCAACTTTGATGCCACCAAATTCCGGCCGGCGGATCCGAAACTGAACTTTGGGGGCCGCTGGAAGGTCCTCAGAATGGAGCTCTCGGAGAAACGGAGCTGGAGTTCCAAGAGGTTTCAATCTCAACGACATACATGTTGGCCGCTGCAAGGCGTTTCAAGCTTTGGTCACTGGCAACGCACGCGCATCCTTGCAGCGATTATCGTGACCCGACTACTAGACTGCATCTCGGGCGCTTCGCCGCTGTTTCGGCAGCCGACACCTGCGAAACAGAACCGACAGGAAGATGATGTAAGATACTATAAGTACGACTATAAGTACTTAAGAAAATCCCCCCATTGCCTCGTAGGTGCCAGGCCCTGGCCTGGAGCGACTGAGAGGTGGGACATGGTGGGACTCCGTGGGCTTTCCAATGCGGCTTTGGCACACGGGCCGCGGCCGTGCGAGCTGGTCGGGGCAGCGTTCGGCGAAGGACCACTTCGGGGCCTCGCAGGAAACTCCAACTTATGCCAGTTTGAGTTTGCGAGCAGAATCCTGCAGAAACACGCACGTCCGCCTTTTTATGGTGCGATAAGCAGGTGGTCAGCGGGTGGCACACGCCTTGACTTCGCACGTGAAGCTTCTGGTAAGAGGCTTGTGTGTGGGGGATAAGGTGGCACTTGACAAGCATGTCCGGCCAAAGACTTGAAGAACGAACATCTCCTGCGCGAATTGCATGAACTCTTTCTGCACCGACCGTCTAGAAGCGGAATCCATGGCTGCTTGCGCGCCTGTCTTGGCGGAAGTTTAGCCTCAATAACGCCATGGAACGCTGCAGCCTTCCTGGAAGCACGAAGGCAGCGGAGTCCACTGACGCCTGCTGCAATACGGACACGTCGCTCCAAAACACGGAGGGGCGAGTTCTGTGTGTTCTAAGAGATCTTGGGGGAGAGCTTGGACACCCGCCGTCTCCTCATGTACTAAAGAAGGATGTTTCAACTGACGAAGATGCTAAATGACATTGAAGAACGCTCGCAGCTGTCAATGATTTCACTGAGCAACAAACACAACATGCCCCCTGTATCTGTATCGTGCTCACATTTCATGACGATTTGACTTGCAAACTCTCAGATGTAGGTTGATGAATGCAGCTCCTCGCAGCTTTCGCCGTGCCTCTGACAGCCGCCCCGGTAAAGCTGCCTTTGAGCTGCCGAAGGTATCTAGAGTTCTACATGTGTCGCGCTAGTGGAGTCAAGCGTCTTTAAAATCCAACGAGCTTGTCTTGTGAAGCTGAGCGAAGGTGGCTGCAGCCTGTGTGGCGGGGCGGAGTTATGGTGAGTCTTGCTGAGCCTGGGGAGCTCTTTGACCGAAGGGACACAAGTCCAAGAGCCAAATGGAGCCCGAGCTGGAGCTACACCTGAGTACCACCTGTGAGCTCTGAGACTTCCTGAGTGACTGAGTGAGAGTTCCAAGTTGCCTTGGCTTTGCTGGCTGCTCCACCAAAGCTCGCGAGGATACCAGTCTCCATCGCCAAAAAGCAGGGGCGGATATGCTTGAGTTTGCAGTGAT